TGACGGTGAAACCGTTTGCATTGACTGTGAGGCACTTGCTTCGTTGGTGAAGTGCCGTTGATCGACAAGCTTTTGAATGGTGCCACAGAAATCCTCTTAACAACTCCATTTGTCACACTTCATGGTCACATGAACCCTCTTCACTCCAGACATTTGATTGGTCGAGGTCCAATTCAACTCCTCTGGCGGGAAATAGTTCACACTGGCAGGCTGCTAGATGGCATTGTACACTTTCTCCCCGCAAGAGAAGCTCTCTGTATCTAATACCAATGCCCAGCCCCCGAAAGAACATGTTGGCTGGAAGATGATGCGAAAACAAAAAATCTACGCCTGCTAAATGTTTGGCTTGCTTAGCAAACATGTCTTAAATCAACAACCACACAACCCTTAAAAGGTCTGCCACAGCCACACTCAACCCTTCGCTGCCTTTCAGCAGCTCTGCGGTGTGTCCAAAGAGCCGCGTCCACACGGCCGAGGCGATGAAGTTCAACATGGGGAGCAGCCTGGCGAGCGAAGTCTTTCCCTTCAAGTGGACCACGGTCCAGAAGAAGTGGAGCAGCTGGTCGGAGAAGGGTCACCATGTGAATTGAGAACACTACACTTTGTAGGAATCATCCCATGGTTACATGGATGGCATGGCCAGAAGAGGATCTTCCAAAGACCAAACTAGGAAGGGCTGTTCACCGGTACAGCCGGTCACAGGCTTTTGCGCGGCCTTTTTTCGCGCCGAGCCAGTAGGCCCAGTCTGACGCCCTGTGTTTGAGGATCCTCCAGAAGAACAGTTCTTGGTTCACATTGTATTTGGACGGTCCAGCCCCCACCCCTGTTTTTCCGCCAGGTTTGCATGTGGGTCGGCTGTTGGAGTGAGCGCGGCCGTCCTTCATGCGGGCAGCCAAAGGAAGAGAGCTGGAATCATTGGCTGAAACAAGTCTTTGACAGTTGGGAAAGCTTCTTGGACACCGCGTGGAAGAACTTCTGCACCACCTACAATGCCCGAAACAAAAGCACCAAGGTGTTTCCTATCTCAGGTGATGCAGATTTGGTCCATCAGCACCTATGGCGCTTTGGCCACATCACGCGCTACAGAACACCCAACACCTTTTAAGCTTCGACCTAACCAAAACCGCGCCTGGTCTCCCGGCGGTTCCGGTTCTCTCGAAGAGCGCAGAGGTCCAAGACCTCGACGAGGATGGACGTGGATAAATCCACGGCAGGACTCGAATGTCTCCAATCCCAAGTGGTGGTTCTTTTTGGGGGGTGGGACTGGCCAAACAGTGTTGGGGATTTGAGCCAAGAGTTCTGAGCAGGTATATCCGCCGACCCTGCCTAGCACTTGCTACGGCAGGGCGGCGCATGGGGCCGCCTTTGGTGTGGAACCTTTGCATTGCGGCGCCACTTGTCCCGTCAAGCCCGGAACAGCAGGCCCGGCCGGACTCCAATTTCCAGGAAACTGCCGTCTGGCACCTCCAAACGCCCAAAATGGCCGTGCCTTTCTACGTTTTTCGCAACTGCCGTCTGGTACGTTTTTTGGCCATGAGGCACATTGACACTGCCACATGTCTTGAGCACCGGCGCTAAAGAGCTGCGCATCTGATTTTTTAGTGTTTTCGAAACTGCCGTCTGGCACCCTCCAAACCCTATAGAAACCCTTCCCAGGCCCGTCAAGCACCTCCAAATCCTAGAAACCCTTCCCAAGCCCCGATCTGGGAGCTTGGTACGGTTTTCGAAACTGGCGGCTGGCACCTCCGCATGGTCCCGAGCCCCGAAACTTTTTTTTATGGCGTTGGAAACTGCCGCCTGACACCTGCAAACCCTCCAAACCCTCTTCGGGCCCCGATAGGGCTTGGTTGTTGGGGTGAGTTTAAAAGTTTACATGAGAGCGGTGGAGAACCAGTCCCTTGGCAAAGGCCTTGCGTGCCAGGTCTTCAGTAAGTGTGGGCTCCGACGACTCTCGGTTCCAGAAGACGACGTTCAATTTGATGCTGATTGGTGAGGCTTTCATGGAGGAAGATTGCTATTTTGGCTGCGCCGTCAAGCTGATGGAGTTGGGCCCTGTGACTGGCGATGTGGAGAAACCACGTTCCTTGGCTGACCTTTGCCCACAGAAAGCTGTAGCGCAATGCAGGGTTGCAAGCTGAAAGGTGAATGTGCCATGTTTGGAAAGGTGCAGCTGGTTAGTGCTTGCTCATCTTTCTCAACACCTAGATAGATAGATATAGATGTTTTAAAAATATAAATATATATATATAAGCACTTCAATCCAGAGATGTTATTGCCGCAACCGGTTGATCGTGCAGGATGCGGTGGTGGCAATTAATTGGCTTTGCCGGGGCGCTGGCAGCAACAACTTCAATGCCTGTGGCAACATGTCTTCCATTGTCACGTATGGTGAGACACAAGAAGAGTGAATTTTCAGTGCCAAACTTGCCGCGTTTTTTTTTGCTGTGTCTCTGGCAACCTTGCTCAGGCAATGTTGCCAGATTTTTCCCAAGATGATGCAGGTGTGTGAGACGATGGCGTGCGAGTTGAGTCCAGATGTTTGCCCCAATGGAATCTAACAGATCTGTTTTCCCATGGGTATTTCTCCCACGACATCAGTGAGAGTTGGTGAAGGCCAACTTGGGTCCTTGTAGATGCCTCCACGCCATGTGTGCGTGAACGCCGACTGCGAAGGAAGTGCAAAAAAGTGGCAAGCTGCGTCAGCTGCGTGTGGTATTGTTGGGCGAGTGGCTGTTCCAGCCGGTCGGATGTACGCCCTGGTGGTGGCGGGTGTCCGCCGCTGAACTGTCTTCCAGCCAATTGTCTTCTCCAGGGGGTCGGATGTACGCCCTGGTGCTGGCTGGTGCTGGCCGGCGCTGGTGGGTCTCCGCCGCTGTGCCGCTGTGATTTGCGCGCGAATTGTCTTCTCCAGGGGTTGCACGGGTTCATGTGGATTCGTCAAAAAACGTCAAAAACACATGGAAAATGATCAAAAATGGCCACGGATGAAAAAGCGGCTTCCAAACCTCTAGAAGATTAAAGCAATGAAAATGGATACAGGCTTTGAGGAGAAATTTTGGCCAAGCATCATATCAGCAAGGTCTTGGCAGGAAAGATGCAAATCCTGTGGTGTATGACTAGGCAGAAAACACTGTAAATTATCGTCTTTTTGCAACGTGTATGTAATTTATGAACAATGCTGCTCATATTCTGTTGATGCCAATGGTGTTTGACACAACTGCTAACAAAAAATAAACTTCTTCTCCTCTTAGTAGTTAATCAATAACGCTGTTCGTATTTTGGCCAATGGTGCATGACACAAGTGCTACCTCAAAACTGTCTCTCCTCTTGGCATACTTTCTTCTCTAGAGATAAAGTTTTACAGTTGCCATGTTTTACCATTTCTCCTGTGTGCTTGATGTTTTTCAATAAAATATATTACGTCCCGGTGATGCTCGAAATGTTGGTTTGCGGCCCGACATTTCGAGCACCACGTGGGCTTCATTCTTGTGTATTGAGCATTTTGTAGCCTAAGCGCAGATAGCTTTGGGCTAGAAAATGCTCGAAAATATTCAAAAATACAACGCTTTGAGTGCTTTCCACTGCAAAGCCGTGATATTTAAAAAGCCGTGGTGCGTGCGTGCGAGCGTGCGGTCGTGCGTGTGCGTGCGCGCGAGTGCGTGTGCCTAGTAGTCGTGGTGGTGGTGGTGGTGGTGGTGGTGGTGGGAGTAGTAGTAATAATAGTAGTAGTGGTCGTAGTAGTCGCCTCCGCATACACGCATCCCCCCCGCGGGCATTGGCGGTTGGCGAAGCCTGTCAGTCTATTATAGATATTTATATATATATATAGAGAGAGAGAGAGCTCAAAGATATGGTTGTTCTTTTGGTGCCTCACGTGGGTTTGGTCGTCGAACCGGGAATTCCCAAATGGTACATATCTGACTAACTAGACCCATCAATTTTGAAAGACCTACCATTCCGAACTGTGGCTTTGGAAGGTCAGAATCGCAAGACACACCCAGTCCTACAGCTTTTGGGAACGCAAAAAACAACAGCTCATTCCTCCTCAGTCTGATCGTCATCTCTCGTTTCTTCCAGACTTTATCGCTTTCAGAAGGTAGGGCATGGCTTCGAGAAGATCGACCAAGTGGCTCGAAGTCCCGCAGGCCGCCCCAGCTCATGCAGATGCTCCTCTGGGTGCCCCGCAATGCCGGGCAAAGCTGAGGCTTGTTGTGTGCCGTTTTTGCCGAAAAAAGCACCAGCTGAAAACAGTGAAAACTGGGGAATTCTATGATGGAATTCTCTCTGCTGGTGCAATTTCTGTCTTCCTTCCTTCCATCAACACGATATATATATATATATATATTTATATATATCAATTTAATTTCAATTAATTTCATACGTTTAACTTAAGTTACTGTACTACTTCTCCCCTCCTTCTCCCAAGCAGTGGCCTACAGTAGGTTTAAGAGCAAATGGTACAAATCAAATCAACATTAGATCTCGACAAATCCTGCACCAGCAGCTGAGACGAGTTCGTCGAGATGCCCAAAATCCACTCTTGTAAAGCCTTTCATGGTTTCGAGAACGTCAGGTTTTTGGCATGGTTTTTGTTGGGGCATGTTTTTCCCCTGCCGGTTTCGGCTCAGACCCTCTCGCCAGGAAACCGGGGGAAACCCCCCGAAACCGGTGGTTACCACAGGAAACGAAGCACCGGCCCTGGGAGGTCGGTAGACGTCCCGTGTTTTTGGACCTTTGGACGTGCTTTCGGACGTGCGACGAGTCCACTCGATGCCGGGCCCCAACATGAGGACCGCAAGTTTCGGGTGTGTCGGAACTCCGCGCCGTTGAAAACAGTACGGTTGACCGAGAATTGACTCCTGTGGCTAAAACCCTTCAAAAAAGGTAAAATAAAAAGAACGTACAGACAAGAAAAAAACGGTTGCCTTTTTGAAACCCAATGGTGCTCAAAAAACATCATGTCCAATGTCATTCTGTGTCATCAGAACTGGATAACACCATCAGCAACACTGCACACCATCTTTCGCTCCAAAGGCTTCCCAGCGGTGCTTTCGGAGCTGTTCATGGGCGGCTCTCATTTCACGTTGCAAGAGATCAGAGCGCACCTGGACAGAACTGAGCGCGGCGGGCGGCGGACAGAACGGGCGCATGAGACTCTGCATGAGGTGCGGGTCGACCAAATAGAGGAGTCTCTCCAACCCCGTCAACATGTTCCTCGCCCTTTGAAAAGTGCTGTCTATTTGAACCACCACTAGGTTGAGTTGAAAACTCGCTCTTCAAAGGAGGAAAGAATGACTAACCACTGAACCAATATTGGAATCCAACGGTATCTCTAGCATCCTGCGCGCAGCGCCCTCCCGCTTGCGATCAGCCACAAGACAAGATTGCGTAACCTGGTCAGTGCAAACCCCTTGCAACCTTCAGTGTAGACCCCTTGCCACTCGTTTTGGTACGGTGTCCAAGTCCAAGAAACGATTTTAGCTGGCCCAAAGCCCGTACGGCTCTCGGCGACTGATGAGGAACAAAGAAAGAATGAGAAAGAAGGGATGCACATCTGGACAAAATACTAAATGGGTGCCGTTCGACATCCCACAGATAACCCCATGACCATGCCCCTAACCATGTCATGGAGAACCACCATAGACCAAGTCCCGCATGACCCCATGAAAATGTCAGGGTCCCTTTATTCTGGTCCCACTGATGCGGGTTCAAAAAAATAAGAGTACATCTCAAATCCAATGGCAAACATCATAGACTGACTTGTGAATAAACCGCTGACACACAAGAATCTGAATCTTACAAACCAAGCGCCTAAATCTGCGCTGCGAATCCATTGGTTTAAGTCTCAAGAACATCTCCTCGCACCTGGTCCATGTATGGTTGTGCCAAATCGAGCTGAAGTTCCACCTCATGCGTGCTCGCGCGCCCGATCTGTCGTCAGAAATGCATTTCTTTGCAAATCCATCGAAGAACTGAATCCCATCACCCAAATCCGAACTTCTCCACAGCCAAGTGACAGGGTCTTCAATGCTCAGCCGGGCAGGTTGGCGGTTGACTAGAGTTCTGCAGTGCAACGAGACAGCATCCTTTGCCCAATCGAAGTCTTCCTCGGCGTCAACCGCCGCAGGGTTCGGCGTCAGCGGATCGGAACATCCACAGTCGGCATCACCATCGACTTCGGAAGGGGCCCTTTGCGGTATGATCCAAACAACATCCAATGCAAGTGGTTCTTCACGGAACAAACCTACTCTTGCAAGCTCTAACTCATGGGCGGTCACACATACATACAGTAAACAGCACAGCACAGCACATGACATTACATTATAATTACATACTCCGCACACACAACACACATACACATGTACATACACAATCATACACATATACACATAATACACACATACACATTTACATAATTTTACATATACATTTAAATATATCGTCTATGTTCGTGTGTATATATATATATGTGTGTGTGTGTGTTTGTTCTTTGTTTATTTATTTATATACATAAACAAATAATTACGTACATTTCTTACATCACGTTACATGACAATACAATACAACGAAATACACCATGCCTTACCATACTATGACATTATTTTTTTGCAATACACATGGGTGCTCTCACATGCGTGCCCTCATGTTTGTGCTCTCATATCTGTGCTCTTAGGTGTTTGTTCGCATATGTGCACTTTCATGCGTGTACTCTAGAGTGCGGAAGCTGGACTACCCCTGTCTTCTTCTACTTGACACTGTTTGGCGTCTCTTGCCAGGATATGTACAGACATGGAATGTATAGAAACGGAGTGGATCGTCACTTCAGTGGCGCCCGCATGGGTCGGCGGGCTAGGGTGGCCATGGAGGCATCAAATCCGCAGTCCTGTCTTAGACCATCATCAAAAAGCCTCCTGCCCTTCTTGGCCACCGGCTGGGCCAATGCAACCCGGAAAAGGCGCCCTGATTCAGGCCAGAGCGCAGCATAGAAGCGAAAGATGCCCTGCAGCAGACGTGGTAAATCCTCCAAGAGCTCGGAGCGTTGCTGTGAGCGCTGGAGCTGTTCGTAGACCTGCCGTGGAGACCAGGCGAGGCGACGTGGCACTAGGTAGACACGCAAGACACGCTGTGACAGTCAAAATGGGGTTTCTACAAAAGCACCACAAAAAATATATGACCCCTACGTTAGATAGGGCCCTGCAGGGGCCCTCAATTCGGGGGAATCCTGCTTCACACACCAAATTCGGACAACAGACAGTTGAACCGTCCACAGCGAGCAAGGCATTGGATCCGACCCTCCTTCCAACGATGCTCGGGCGCCGCCAGTACGTCGCTCCAACAAGTTGCCAACCGGCGACCCAGGACCGACGGTAGGGATGGTGAATGGAGACACCCCGAATCATGTCTAAGTGGCTTTTGATAGACACGGAAGGGCGGACTACCCGGCGGGAAGGTGTGCGGAACCCGGCCTATGGTCCACTTCACGAAACCAAGAACTACAACCTATTGGTTGCGGATGTTTGTGCTTTTCCACACACCCACATCAAGGATGCAGGTCGCGGTGACCAGCCATTTCTATACATGCGAGGTCTCCAGACTCCAGACCCATCTTTATTTTTGAGCTGTACTTTGGAGGTGACAGAGCACCAGGAAAACAAGAAATCATGAAGATCAGTGATGAGGCCTTTTGTTTAACTTCTGATGTCCAGGAGTTGAGACCCCATGACGAACCACACGAAACAGTAGATGGTATCACAGTGGAGATGCCCGGCCTCCTCAAGATTGGCCACTTCGCCAACCTCACCGGGTTTCTAAGAAGGGAGAGAAACGGAAAGCCAGGTGAAATAGAGTTGGGAGGCGATTTCGAGATGGCATGATTGAGATTTCAAGAAAACGCCTTGAAGGGGACCACTGATTTGTTGGCCTCTTTAGATTACAGTTTTTGGGAGAGAGAACTCTGGTAAGTAAATTAGCTCGATTGTCATCATCTGATAGTCATCATCTGCACGACAATGTTCAAAAGATTCAAAACCATGTGTCTCAGTGTTCCCCGGCTCCGCCATGGCGGCTACAACGTGCATCAACCCGCTGGGCCCACATTCAACTGCCGTTTGGAGGGTCTGATTCAAGCCCCCCCTCTGCTTTGGTTGTGCTCTGATATGTCCGAAAGCCTTGCTTCACCGTTAACCAGAGATCCTCCGCACCGAACAAGTCTCGGGTACGTGGACCACGGCAGGAAGGCGTGGTCAGTGGTCAGCCCCTCAGGGCGACTCCAATGAATCCATGGGTTCTCTTGTTCTTTTTGTTGCCCATAAAAAAAATAAATAAGTAAGGATCCCGGATTGGGACTCCACTTGGATTTTCTGTGCCTGTGCTTTTTGATCGGTCCATCCTGTGGCTCGGATCAGCAAACCATGGCTTCCATGCAACTCCTCTTGACCTGTGCCGTCCACCAGTGTGGTGTCGGACATCTCGCGGCCTTCAACTCCATCGACACAGCAGCCGCTGGCCGCATCTGCTGCGCGGCGAAGATGCCCAGGCAGCTGAAGCCTTCGAGGTCGGATGTCCGGCTTGGCGCACCCGACCGCGAAGCACAACCACCCAATCGGACCCGCGACGGGTGGTGAACACATGGTGCAACATCTTCAAAGAAGGCCGGAGGGCAAACATGGCGAGGTCATCCGTTCGGTCCGTTCCGCAGTTCTGAGATGTTGTGCAGCGGGAGGGCTCCTCTGTAGTGACAGGGATTTTCCCAACAGATAGCCTGCCAAGAACAGAGACCCAGCCCGGACCAAGGCTACAAGAAAGTGGCAGGTGGTACTGTATCTAAGTCTGCAGCTGTGTGGTGTGTGCGTGTGTAGATTCCTTGTGATTACTGAAGGTATTTCTCACAAAATCGCCTGCACTGTGGTTCAGTTTCAATCTGTTTGCGAGCAACAACGAGAACAGTCCCTATAGATTCTATAGATGTTCCCAGGACCCTCACCAGTTCTAGAGGATTTGAGGATTACCATCAACAAAACACATTTCTACCTATCTGAAACAGATTGATATATGCTGCCATGATTGTATACCTCAGCCTCCCTCAGAAATCTTCACAGATTCAGGGATCCAAAAACCAACTCTGCAACAATCATTATAGTCAAGTCAGTCCTGAAAGCCGAGCCACCCAAACCTGAAGGAAATCCGTGGCTTTGGCCATAGATGCATCGCCTTCCGATCAAATTCGCCGAACAATTCAAGGAGGTCCTTCCTGGATGAATCAAACCCATTCTGCTTCCTGAGGATGATGGATTGGATTTGAAACCAAAAGCAGAGGTTTCGCTTGCCCTGCGCACCGAAGCGCCGCATGTTCTGGAAGTGACACTCGAAAAGAAAGGACCATCGGTTCGCACCCCAAGGTATGGACCCTCCCACTTCTTGTTATTACTAGTAAGGCACTTGTTACTAGTAGCGATGCACTTGTTACTAGTAGCTTCTTGTTACTACATTGGTTGTAGAACCACACTCTGACTCAACCCGACCTCTTGGCCCAGCTTTTCAGCATGGCACAGGCGGCGCCCAGCGCGGGATGCCCCAGCAGCACATGCTGCGCCACTAAGGCGCTCTTCTGGGCGCCCTGGCGGCTCTCCACCGACAGATCGCCACGCCTCCAGATCCGGCCTCGAACGCTGCACGACTCGCCACGCGGCGTTATAAACGCGGGGGGGGAGCAGCAGGATGTCGGGTGAATCGAGGAGAAGTCGTGAATCTACTTGAAGTGTTTCCTTTGCGGATTGGAGGATTTGAAAAATTGTATCAAAGTGCTTTGTCTGCGACAGTGGGGATGTTCACAAAGGCCGCCAAACTCACCAGCAATCGGACAAGCCTCCGAATGTTGAGACTTCCAATTGAAGCGCCTCCCATGCCTTTTGTCGCTTCGTCCACGAACCCAACGATCTGAGGCCTTTGCCAATCGTCCACCCGAGTCCACTGGCGCGCGCCCCGCCTTCACCGTGTGCGTCCTCCCAGTGGAGCCGAAGGATCGGGCGCTTCGCCTCCAAGACAAGCTCATCCACCCGCACCGCCTGGGAGACGAGATGGATCATGTGAAGGATGGGTGTTGCCATCCGGATGGGCAATCACTAGGATTAGAGCTGCTGAAAAATCCTCCATGGTCTCCAAGGCAGGTTGTCTTGCACTTAGATTCTTCCCCCAAGTCGTTGTTGTTTGTCTGGCAAGTTTCCAGCTGGCCGTCATCATGCCCAACTCATCATGATTGATGGTAGACGTTGCAAGAATCTCCATGCATCTGTCAGTGTGGTGCGTGCGGTGCGCCTTTCTAGCCTTGAACCAGAGAGTTCCTAGTGTATGCAAATATACATATTATATATAAATACATATAAAAACGATTGTAAATTCCTGATTGAAAATTACACCAGCATAGCCCCCAGATAGCAGCTAACTTTATAGACAGAAGCACCTGAGACAAAGAAATGAAGTAATTAAGTCACACATATCCCATGTGCCCGCAAGTGGGCCCAACAAAACGTCAAGCGCACTGAATAAAAGATGCTGTTCCAGCATATGTGTTGCCCCGATGAAAAAATATGATGTTGCGTGTAGAAGATGTTAAAAGTGTGCGCGCACAAAAACGTGCAAACAGTACATCCGGATGTTGCGCGTACACGCATATACGTGCAAAAGTATGTGCACACACACAGTACGGTTCCTAGCTTTCACAGGCATCACGCACAAGAATTCGAACATAGCAAATGCAACGCAAAGCCAGACATTTTGAAACACAACGCGGCATTACTCTGGAGGCTCCCGCGTTCTGAAGCAGCCTTTTGACACTCATGTTTCAAGCTAAAGGTGCTGCTACAGGCATGTATTGCACGATCAAAACAATATGATGTTGTACGTATATGCGGGTATATGTGTATTTTAAAAACGCACATGTACCCGCATATACAAATAGTGGAATATGATGCAAGTAGTTATTTTAAAATACACATGTATATCCGCTGTAGTGGAATATGATGCTCTCCACAACGCGCACAGCCAGCTCGCAGCACCCAAGACGTCTAGCATCGGCACCAACACCCAGGCTCCAAAGCGCACAGCTCTGGCTATCTGGTCCAGAGGTGAACTATATGTACACATACATGCAGTCACATAATACCATGATCATGCATACAATTTGGATAAACCTGTACATTGCAAACCTCTGTGTGCATTGATTGTTCTATATGTAACTAAAATGGTCTTCACATCGGGTCTTTTTCTGGGCATTGAACGGGCCAATGCTTTGAATCCAGCGCCAATCCCCGCGCGCGCCTGCGGCAAGGAAGCACGGACTCTCCGAAGCGTCTGTCGTTGCAGCTCCTCAGACTCTCCGGCAAACTTCCCGTGGAGACTCGGGCGGAAGGAGAGATCGGTTTTGCTCCCATTCAAAGCCATCTACCTATTTCTGGAGTTCTTAAGACGATTTCGTGAGTTGTAGGTTTTACGGTTGAAACAGTCAAAGGTCTCTTAAGTCCTCACGTTGCTCTCATCTTCAAATCAACTCTTTCTACAGTGTATACTGGGCTGTTCCATGAGCGTTGAAAGCAAATGAATTCTGCAAAGGCCGAGGGGTGTCATCGTTTCACCTTGATCAAGAACAAGCCACGCAAAGCCTATGATCTCATGTAGAATTAAGAGTTTGAAAAAAATGCTTGTAAAGCCTCTTCATACGGGGGGTTATTAATCAAGAGTCTACATATACATTATATGATATATATATAGTTTAAAGAGGTTTTGATAGTCTTCATTTGAGATCTATCAAAGGCAGCAAACTTGGTCGTGCTGAGGGTCGCGTTGCTCTTCGAACGAACCCTGGAGGCCGTTGGGCAGGATGATCGTAGCATCCACATCACTGTCCTGCAAGGAGTGGTGTCGGGCCCGGCCCAGAGTGTACCACCAAGTCACTCAACCAAGTATCAACCCCCCTTCACCAAGCTGCCTGATGCATGAACCTGGGAATTGGAGGCGCTCCCTTTCCCTACGTGTTGCACCAGTGAGAGAAGAAGGTGTCAAAGGTCCTAGTAGATTCCTTTGCTAGTAATTACAATTCTAATTAAATTCTTATTGTTACTAGTAGTAATGCACTTGTTCCTAGTAGCGATGCACTTGTTACTACTAGCTTCCGTGTTGCACCTAAAAGGTTGTGACAAAACTGCCATGAAATTCAGGTAGTCTTCCAAGTGCCCATTGGCCACTTCGTCTGTTAGAGAGTCCGAGGAACACTCGACGCGCGGCGTTTCTTAGGAGATACGTTGGCGTTGACCCCTCACATCTCTTTTTTTTGAACCCAGTCTGTCAGCCCCCCTTGTCCCCCTTGTCCTGATCCAAAGCATTGGAAAAAAACAATCAAATGACAACCAACAAGACAGCATCACAAGATGGGCCCAACGCCCCCGGCTGGAAAAATGCTGGCAGAATCTGTTAGATGTCCCACGGCAGTCTCTCATTCAAGTGGTTTATCGAGAGGCTCCAGAGGACCAAAACGCACCAGAACTTGAAAGATCGCCAAAAGCAACCAACCCGAGAAGTAACTCGTTGCTGCAGGAGTCAAGAAGAACCTGCCAAGAACCGAGCGGACACCTCCAGATCTCGCGGAGAAAGACCTCTCCTCGGTGGCCAGGCCCTCAGCGCGGGAGCCCAAAGGCCACAGGCGCCAAGTGGGGTCCAGGGCCGCAGCCACTGGTGTCAGGTCCACCTGGCCAGGCAGGGCAAGGGAAAAGCTGGGGACCAAGCGGGTGGCTGAAGCTTTTGGTGAAGCCAAGCAGAAGGGCAAGGGTTTCAAGTTTGAGAGCTTTTCTATGGATATGAGTGGATCAAATTTGGGTCTAGATTCTAGACGGTGTCTTGTTGTAATCATGTTCCATCCCGCTGTTCGTTCCCCTTCCCGGTATTCCCTTGTTAAGAAAGAAAGCTTGAGAAGGATCCCCCAAGCACGAACCGTCGTCATCCCAAAAAGCTACAGGTATGTTTCCCATGGGGACACTCCATGACGACCGAGTACTTTAGAAACTTCCATCGTCGCGACAGCGACAGCTCCCTCTTGAGTGGGGTGAAGATGACCCCGCAGCGACACCAGCAAGTCGAAAGATCGCCTAGAGATCTTCCATGCACAATCTAGGATGCCCAAAGTGGACCAGGAGACCGGAAAGACAACATTTATTCGGGGATGCTGGAAAATGATCCAAACTGGAGTTGGGAAAATGTTTGCGGTTATAGTATGGTTATGTCTCAAAGGTTGTAGTACGGTTATGGCTCAAAAATGCTCAAAGGTGATACAGTTACAGTAGTATGGTTATGGCTTGGGTCACGGCACTCTGGAAGTACAGAAACCGTTGCATCTCAATTCTTCACCTCACCGAGCAAGACCGGGTTTCTCCACAGACCTTGCAGAAGGGACTTGCCACGTAACGTGCCACCCGCGCCGCGTGTGAGTGTGTCCAGTCAGGTATTCTGTATTCTGATCTGTTACCTTCACCGCAGAGCTGCAGCCGAAAATGGACATTGGAGGTCCAGTGAGACACTTCCTTCTTGATGAAATCTTATGTTTGCTACATATATATATATATATAACTTCTTTTTGAGGGGCTGCGGTTGCGGTTGGTAGATCACATGGGAGATGCTTGGGATAGTGGATCTAGTGTGCGTGCAAGTTCTTCGAGACGCAATGGGGCGCCGATTCCTGATCATCCATCGTATTGCAAAAAGACTATATAAATTCAAAAAAACAAAAAAATCTTCCCTTCCAGCATCGTGCTCTTCTTTGAGAGCCTTCTTGTCCTAGTAGGGAAATCTACACCTTCAATCACTTCCTTCTCAGTTCCCCTCAGCCCCACCGGCTGCAGCGCCATGCGTGGCACCAGCTCCGCCGGTAGAGGCTGGCTGGGGAAGCTCGGCCAGGACCACGCGACGGTCTCGGAGGAGGGGCCTGGCCAAAGAGTTGACATCGGTTCCATGTCCCAACTGGTGAGACTACTAGGAGCAAAGGGCCTTACTAGTAGTAACAAGAAGCTATTAGAAACAATAAGCTACTAGGAACGGAAGCTAAACGTTCAAGTGCCTTACTAGTAGTAACAAGAAGCTATACGTTCAATGAATGTATCGGTCCTCATATCGGGATGCCGCAAAACTTCGGGAGAGTAATCGCGTCTGCAGAAGATATGTCGTGACAAACCTCTGCCAGACCGATAGATGGTGTGTGTGTGGCGGCAAGCGCATGTCTACGCAAAGTAACAGCAGGGTATCAAAGAAGCGCCCGTTTAAGTACTGGTTTCCCCCACCTACTCTTACAGGAAGAAATCCTGTATCATCTGAGTGTGGAGAACAAGCCACGACTCGATGTACAATGTACTCTCTTTGAGGGGAATGATCAAAGTAGTGCAGTCCATCAACTCTCACAGCACGATCCCAACAACTGACAGCACGAACCCCACAAGATTCCAAGAGGAAATTATGCTTCGTCGAGTCCATCCATTCTGGGGTTCCAGGTGAATTTATGGAGCGTTATTCACGACGCAAAAAACCAACAACTCGTAAGTCCACCATGTCATGCCAATCCAAGTGAATGCAAGTGAGTATGTAATAGGATACCGTTTGACCCCCGTGGAAGAAGAAAAAATAGATGGTTCCAGCCCAATTGCAAAGTCTTCCCAGCCCAGGGGCTGTGATGTCGCTTCTCCAGACAGAAGGCCAAGGAGGCCAGATCCTCCTGATGAGCTGGGGAGAGGAGAAAAGCGAGAAAAGTCCCAAAAACTGAAAACCAGTTTTAACGGGTTGGGTAGGTTGGGTGTCTTTCCATGTGCCCCCAAGATCTGCCTCACAGTTCTCAACGGCACGCTGACTCCCGTGGACTCCTCCGACAGTAGCTGCTTGACCTTTGGAAGCTGAAGCACTGGGGCCCTTGCCCAGGCACGGAGGAGGGCCTCACGGGTCGATGGGAAGAAACGGACCCCCCCCCGTCCGACCGGATCCCGGATCCGACCGATCCGGGAGATGTCTCTCTCTCACAGGCGAAGCGAGATGTCTGATTTCGGGTGATTCTCGGCACGGCAGGGTGAACCCTCTGCCCACACCTATGATTATGGAGGGTCATCTGTTTTGACCACCGTCAAAATGTGGTTCCAGTGCACAGGGAGATGTTGGGCTAGGAATGATGAGGTTCTCCAGGTGCACCATGCTTGATGAAAATCATGGTGGTCTCTTTCTGTTGGTGGTCTCGTTTGATCACTGCTTCGCAACTGTTCCCTCAACCAAAACCTTGATGACCATCACAACATGACCATCCCAAGAGCAATTCACCAGACCCACTGTCTTGGCCGCAACTCGCCCAGTCCGAGCCTTCTCCGCCAGGCGGCTTCGGAAGATGCCTTTCTGACACCAGAGCATGGAAAGGCGCGGAAAGCGGTGAGCCCGATGGAAGCGGTGGGTGGTAGATCAGACGGCACCGAGGGAGGGAGGATTCAGTGGGTGACCGGGGATCGTTCGTCTAGATTGGCAGGGGACCCCTGGCAGGGCTGAGGCTGAGGGGAGGAGAGGGACTCATCCTTCCACGATTGAGGCTGTAGTTCTTACCTCTTCTCTGACTCAGCTACACGGACTTGTCTCGATCATTTGGTCCGGATCGAACCAATCCACCAATCCTGGTCCTGGAACCGCTGGAACCCTGGTCCAAATCCGAGACTTCCCACAATCCATCGGAGAAAGACCCCACGCAGCTCCCGACTCGCTCCGCGCTCCCGTGACTTCGACATCGCCGTTCCACTCAATCGAGAACAAACGCGTGGCACATCGGGTTGTTCAACAGCAACCGCCCGCCACAACCGGAAAGAGCACCTGTCCAGCTGCTCCCTATGCCAAAAGATCGAGAAAAAAAAAGAGCTAACATTGAGAAGAGAACGGATGTTGATCTTTCCATCATTGCTTGATGCTGCGTTCTTGGTTTTTGTTCGCTTCTTGTCCAGCCCTGGTGAAGTTGTTCCACGGATGTCACACCTGTTGCATTCAGCCTTCATCTTCTATGTTGTACAAACTTATTGTTGCCCTATAGCTCGCAATGCCCGGCACAATACGGTGCGCCGAGCCGGCGCAGTTGGGTCAAGATTCATGTCGAAGTTGCGGTATATTTTGGAAAGTTGGACTCCAAACATGGCCGGGCTGATCCAGACCCAATCCGAGTCCTCCGAGTCCTCCGAGTCCTCCGAGTCCAGTCACAGTCGCCTTTCTGCTGCATCTCCTGCGTCAGCCACAAGGCGAGGCACCAGGCATCAGCATCGGCTGCACACTTCAGTGCAGCCGTGTAGGACTTAGTGTGAGTCAACTTGTCAACGGGCCGTGTGTCTAGAAAGTCATGAGCATGATAGATCTGATAGACCCTAAGAGTGCTTAGAGAATGAAGACTTCTGAAGAATGAGACTTGGGGTGTACTCATGCCAGTCAACCATTTGTTCGAACAAGTGCGGCATGTGCTGAGCAAGGCTGACTGGCACACTGACGGGGTAAAGGCGACCGCATGGATGTGTGTTCGACTGACTCGGCCAAGAAACTGCAGTGTCTGCACTCTGCTGGTGGTGGTTCCAAAGGTCAAGCCCCTTTTGGGGATTTCCAGCCCGCTGCAGAGCGGCCACAGCAGTCGAGAGGCTACTGTCATCCTGAGAGCTTGTGCGACAGTGCTGAGTGCGGAGTGACGTGAACTGGGCTGAAATCCAAACGTGTGGATCAATAAGGCAGGACTCGATGTGCTGAGTGCTTTGCTGGTCGGAAATGGGATGAAGTGGGGGAGCGGGCCCGTGGGTAACTCTGGGCTGAACCAGCTGGGCTTTAGAAAAGACACCAAAACAAAGTGGAAAACCTAGGAAAACACTGGAACGAAACAAATTCAAAGTCCAACAGACCGGTTCTCACTGGGAAAAGAGTCACCCACGCAAAAAGTGGTGGGCACACCCACATACATGTGTGTGTGTGTGTGTGTCAATATACTTAATATACACCTGCCCTTTTCTTTCGAAACGAGCGGCACCGACGTCTGTGAAACGACCAGCGCCCAGGCACCGGACGGAGCTTGCTGCAGAGCATGTCCTCGAAGAGGCCGAGCACCTGGGTTTGACCGTTTTGGTTCGGGTGATCATGAGGATGTAAGGGTGCTCGTTTGGACCAACCATGGATGTGTTGATTGTACTTGTCTTGACTGAACAAAATTCATGTGGCTGGCGGTGTGATGAACGTCTGATTATGTCTGATTTGATTTGCCATCAAGTTCTAAATTTGTCAATCAATGCGGAACTGGCAGACTACGGGAGACTATTGATTGCTCAATCCTTCGACTGCTAGCCACCCTTCATAAAACAGACTCAAGGTAGTGCTTCGAAAGCAACCTCGCGTGAATGTCACGCGAGATGTGCACCTGGATCAGCCAAGGCTGTCGATACGACTGCCAGGATACAGCTGGAAGGCTGATGGGAACAGCTTTCGACTGGAAGTGCAATGTGAAAAGGCCTCCTTAAGAAGTGTCATGTATTGCTTATTATACATGATGAAAAACAACACCAATATAGTTACCATCAACGGTAATGTAGACTCTTGATGAACAACCCGAAAAAAATGAACATGGATTGTAAAACCATGTATTATAGTATATAATACCTCTTCATATGGAACACATCGTCATGATGCGTCGTCATGTATCAAATAATCAACGTTAGTCCCCATGCTGATCACCCTTCGCCTTCTTCACCTTCCAATCTACGACAGTCGAAATGAAATCTTCGGCGCTCCACCTTCTCCCAACAGCTGGCATTCCTCAGCGCCGCCAGCGCCGCGTTGAAGGAGACCAGGTCGCTAGTCAAAGAACGGCGCCTGACATGACGTGACCAGCCGGTGTTTTGCTGGGATCGACCTGGGATCGAACCGAAAACAGAAATGAAAACGCATCTCTTTGAGACGACGAGCCAGGAGAAACATGTACCACAGGTGCATGTACAGTTTAGGGTCACAAAAAAGACAGGTGAACCGTACTGGGCTTCTTGAGCGGCCATGGTTTTGGAAGTAACAGCGTAAAAAGAGTTGCCATCACCATGGTTGTCTCTGGCAGAAACAACCAAATACTGTAAGAAGTCATCCTTGAGAAGTCAAAAAGTCTCAGAACAGGACCAATTCATTCTCAAGGGGAAGAACATGACATCTTCCGTGCTCTACCTGCAAACTGCCATCAAAGTCTTCAAGTCACAGCGCAATGCGCAATGTCGCACAATTCGTGATCATCTAAGATCTCCGAAATCGCCCCATCGAAAGAGCCATCTTAGATCCTGCCAAACTACGAATCCAAACCTGTATAGGATGGATTCCCATGGATCAGGGCACAACGACGTTTGCACCACTTGCTGAGTGTCCGTCTTCACCGACTGCAGCAACGCGACAATGACGTTTGCACGGATGTTTGATGTTCCCAGATTGTTTGCCAAAGGTCTGGGCACCAAGTCAAAGCAAAACTCCCAGAGTCTGCAGTACTCTGTGGCCATCTTGGGGACGTGATCCAGTGTTCCATCATCTTTCATCAGTTGTACAAGTAACTGTCACCTGCTCCCGTGCTTGTTAGAGATCCAAACAAGAACAAACGAAAAACTCAGTGATCGTGGTTGGTTTTGGACCTGGCTCCCTATTTGTTCCCCATGCCCGGCTGGTGCAGTGATCAATCTGGACGATTGCAATGATGGACAGAAGAAATTGATCTATTCCAAAGGACATCCTCCACTCAAGCATCTACAGAATCAGCATGTTTGATCAATTGTCTTCCGGCCACCTTGCAGCTAGGAGCGCCAAAGCAGAGCGCCACTCAGCAGCTTCAGCACCTGGGTGAAGCTCCGGGTCGCAAGGTGCCCTGAAAACACTGGAAATTGTAGACCCCATCCGAACGGTTCGCAAGGCAGAACCAAATGATTCTGATACCATGTGATTGATAAGGGGTCGCCTTCATGTACTGTATATCTCCTGGGACCCGGGATCGTTGTTGAAAGCCTCCATGTTGCTCGCCGGTCCGAATTCGGCAAAGACTCCCACCTCAAAGAGGAAAAAGGTCGGCTAATTACACTCTTTTTGGACATCTGGGTCGCTCTAGGAAAGGAGAACGTGTCTTTCATCGAGGAAGACCCTTTACCTGGCTTTGGCATGCTTTAGCCACAAACATCGCCGACAGTCTCCGAGATGAGCCAGAAATTCATTGCCTTCCCAACACAATCAACCTACCCGCTTCTTGTCCAGACTTGGTCTCCACTTTGGGGGTGAGACAAGAGCTTCCTTGTAGTAGCGTCCTTGCTCCTAGTAGTAAGGCCAGGAGCCCCTAGTAGCTTCTTGTTCTAGTGGTGAAAGCTCCAGCTTGAAGTGAGTAGGTGCCCCAAGGAGCCGTGCGCCGTGCGCAACAATCTGCCGCTGTTTAAGCGCAAGAATAGTACCGGGCGACTTCTTGGGTGTCACTAAGCGTGTCTCCCACAATAACACTATGGCCCTACCTCTATATATATATATTTACATATTTATATATATATATATTGAAACCAAGTATATAAAGTATGTGCATCCCCGAAACCGACACTTGCTCGAGTCCGACGAACTGCGATCCTAAGAAACCCTTTTCCATGCCGCCCAGATGTTGGTCATAATTTCCTTTACATGTGGTAAGCCATTGAAGTCCAGTTGCATCTCCTGGATACCAAATGATCAAACCGTACGATCTTGCAGTCCTGCGAACCCAAAAGCGATTGCAAAAACCCAACTATAAGGTTTGAACGAGGAAAACAAGGAAGACGAGCCGCAAGCTGTGATACTGGCATTCCACGAAGCTGTGCTGCTCTGCTCCCCCAGAGTAGCTAGCCTGGGCACAAACACTTCCATGATACCGGCAACTGCACAGCCAAGTCATGGGGAACCTTGGCCAATACTTGGGGAGAATCCATACTCAAGAACACGCCACACTGAAACAATCTGCTATTGAACAAAGCCACGACAACTCAACCAAGGCTACCAGGTCTGGCTTCACTTGGGCCCTTCCATATCAGCTGGCAGAGACCTCTTCTCTTCTAGGATTCTTCGACCCCTCGGCGGTTGTTAAGCCCTGCCAGCCAGCAATTGATGCTTCTGTGGGTCCAAAATCCGTAGCCTCTGAAGAGAAAGAGGAATCTGACATCTGTGGATTTCCCTGGGTGGTTCCAAATCGCCAGCAGACCACCTTCGAGTTCCAATGTCAAAAGTACTAACTTGCATCCCCAAACGCGGATGATCACTCAAAGCCACCATACTCTGTCTATGTCTTTGTTCGACAAGGAGCAGGGAGACCGAAGATCTCCCTTCCTGGTTCATCTCAGTCCAAAGTCGTCGGAGACACACCCTCATCCATATGGGTGTGTATTAGAATAGGGAGACCCCTCAAAAACCTCAAAACCTCTGGGAAAATCAAAAACTAACTAAATCCATTTGGGAGGTCTCCCTACAAACCCATATCTGCCTTCTTCATGGCTCTTTGGCTTTTCCACTTCCAGCCAAATCCCAACCGGCACCGGCTTCGTGACCAGGCGTCATGGTCAAGGCCTCTTGCCAGCGTGCCGCCCGCCCCAGGGCCGAGAGCAGGGCATTCCGGCACAGGGGGTCGGCAAGGCCTGGACCGACGAGATGGGATAGGCCTGGGATACGCTACTAAGCTTTATTGGTCTTTTAGCGAACAAAGACCTCCGTACGTAGCGTCCAAAGACTGCTCCGTACGTAGCGAACCTTGTTCCTAAGAACATGTTTTGCTAGCCGGGTCACAACATGTCATGAAATATCCCTTAGGCCGTTGCATGGGAATTAACCCGAACGTCAATCGTAGCCTGTCTGGCGGTCTAGCAGCACCTGAGAACCAGGGGTTGCCCAAACCTGTCGTTTCTGCCCAAAAATCCAGATTCATCTTAACAAACTAATACACAGATTTGGACCAGTTGGCTTTGGGCATTCAAACCCAGTGGATGTTTAAATCCATTCCGGATGGTTGAAAACTTTCCAAATCTGGTGGATGCTTAAATGCATTCCAATCCGGCCGTTGAAATGCCATTCCAACACCGCCTCGCGGCTGCGCGCCCGCGAGCAGCAGCTGGGCGAAGGACCACTGCGCCGCACGGCCGCATGCGCTGATGGCGGAGGTGAAAGCCTGGCCACGGGAGAAGGTGACTCGGACAGGAGCACCACGGAGGAAGCACTTGGGAGGTGGAAAAGGGCAAAGCGTTTGTATCTGCACTACCCCAGTGAGGGTGGACAACTTGATGTTATAAGAATCCCTAGGAAGTACCGGTGTCGGGTTCTACAAAAAACCTGTGGCAAAGTTGGACGTTTGGAGGGAAAAATCAAGAGTAACATCTTGTGTTGAGGTTCTATGGATGTCCTTGGAAATGAAACGTCGCGGAGGTCATGTCCTGGGGAACTTCCTGACGACTATCTTATGTTTTCCTGTGCTAACCTAAGCCAAATATGACCAAAAACATGCTAAGGATTTTACAAAGGGACACCTTCTCAAGAGAAGCTTCTTTTCCCTTCTCAACGAACGAAGCTTAGTGAGCAAGGGATGCACCAAGAAGGTCAACATGGCCGAAGGCTTTTTGCGGTTGGAGTCGCGGAACACACAAGGTCTTGCTTTCTGTTTCAATCACAATTAGCCGCATGGGCACAATGCCAAAGCAAAAGACGATGGGAAAGCTGCGCGTTGTGCAAAGGGCCTCCATGCGTGCATGAAATGTGGTCGCGATCATGGACAGCACACCTGCAAAAACTGACTAGCGTTTGGAAGCCCACTCTGCGTGCAAATTTCTGCGGACGATCCGTGCGTCGCAACACATTGGCGGCGCGATCTGCAGGCGTTACACTTGAGACATGACCTGCGCACACCCCTTTGCCCCCTGACGCCAAAAGTCTGGCTGGGCTTCTTTTCCATTCACCGTCCTGCCCTCCCTCTTCTCCCACCTTGTCTGGTATTGAACTTTTTCCTGTAGGTCCAACAACAGTTACAGTGTTCGGCCGCACTGGTGTACATTAGAGGTTCCCGGAAAATTGACCATTTGTAGTCCTATAAAATCCTGAACACAAGATGCCAAAAAATCCTGTAAATCCTTGTGATGTGTTGTTTTTCCTGTGTTGAGGTGAACCTTGAAAGGATTGTATTTTTTGGCCCAGACCTTGATCCTTAAAATATCATGGTCCATGGTGACAGGAAAAAATTAGTCGATACCAGACGGGGATCATGTTTTTCCCGTTGAGACGGAGGTGGAAAAGAACTTAGCGATGCCCTTTGTTACTAGTAGCTTCTTGTTAGTAGTAGTAAGGCCAGGAGCTACTAGTAGCGTCCTTGCTCCTAGTAGCGATGCCCTTTGTTACTAGTAGCTTCTTGTTAGTAGTAGTAAGGCCAGGAGCTACTAGTAGCGTCCTTGCTCCTAGTAGCTAGTAGCGTCCTTGTTTCTGATTCCTTGGTGAACAAATGCTTCGAGAATCCGTTTGCACCCACTGGGTCTCACTGGGCCCCAAGGGAAGTGGCGCAACTGGTCCGTCCGAATGCATGGAGGAGTCATGAGGAAATCCGAGCGACGGTGTTACAAGCACAGCTGCATGAGCTTCCAGGGAGGGGAAGTGGGGATCGAAAGTTCTTGCAGTCTTCGATGGACATTTTAGCTGTGGGTCAAAGCCCGGAGACCTAAACCCTGGTAGGTTAACCAACCAGGTAGTCTATTCTGTTCATTATCCGTGGTCAACCAGGGTTCCCCGGTGTTGACGCAAATAATGCCTTGGAGACATTGTATATGCACAGATACACGAACATGAAAGAAAGTCTTCCACGTGCCAGCTCACTTATTACACTTAGTGGGCTGGAATCACCAGTGACAGCGGAGCCTGTCATCGTCCTATTCCGGCGGTCTATTGTGAGACCCATCCCATGATCAATTGCCACGTCGTCTCCTTCAACGCCTTTTTCGATCTTTTTCGCTCACTCCTTCCCTCCTGAGCGGACAAAGAGCAGCCGCAGCAGCCGGCCCTCCTGGACCAGTTCACCCAACTCGGGATCCTCGGAAGAATCCAGGAGAGAGCCGTGGAATGCCATGATGATTCAACGGCGAAATGCTCTGCCTGCCACCATGTTGGGTTGGCTTAAAAGGTCATGCCGCCATCTCAGTTGACCGCCATCGTGGGTATGGTCTCTGGTGGCTTTGCCTTTCCCCTGCTTGGTTGAATTCCTACGCCAGGATTGATAAACGTTCATTCACAATCATTCAACTTTCATTGGCATGCAGCATGAGGATGTTCTAGTGTAGTTCTTGCTAGAGTCATGATGTAGCCCACAGGCTCACTCTGAGAACACAAAAACTGATACAACGCAAAATAAACCAAGATCAAACGTGCAAAGGATAACCAGGACTCTTTCACAAAATGGATCTGGGAGGCTTCAGAGCCCGCAAGCCTCTAAGTCTCCATGGAGCTGGATTCCTCCTTGCTCTATGAACGAAGCCTAGTCTCTGTGAGCTCCTTGATGTCATCATCCACAAAGAGGGCACCCCCTCGACCAGCTGCATCAGTGTCATAGGCGGCGAGGATGGCCGCGGCCTTGGAGGGAAAGCCCTCGCGCTTCACGCTCACCACCTGCGGCAGGAGGGTGAGAAGTATCGTGGATTGAGTTTAGAAGGTGGTTTATATGTACCCCCATCAAAAGTCATCTTAGGGGTTGCGCCATCCACTCTGAAACCACTGTAGCTGAACTGGTCTCTTTTCAGAACCTCCCCAGGGTGCTGTTTGCAAGTTTAGAAGTCCTCATCATCGTCTTCCAAAAATGAACGTACCTGCCAAGCATTTCACAACTCTCTTGGTGGTACGACAGGGGCTGCACAAAGGGAAGATGAAAGCAATTGGAAAGTTCGTTCAGCACAAAAAGTGGGCAGAAAAAATGAAACGCTCCCGGACCTGGAGCGGAACATTGGTGGTCACCAGGAGTGGAGTGGAGTGGAGTGGAGTGGAATCCGGTTCCTCGGCCTGGATCTCTTCACTTCAATGTCTTCCGAGAAGAGCTTCCTTGTAGTAGCGTCCTTGCTCCTAGTAGCGATGCCAGGAGCCCCTAGTAGC